CCAAGGACATAGCCTTGAGGGACCCCACTGGTCACAGCACACCACGGCCATTGACTTCTGTCAACCACCACCCTCTGGACCCGTGTCTGCTCCAGCCCCAGGCCCAGCCCCAGCCCCACTCCCTCCCTCACTGCACGGCCCTACAGGAGCCACACTATGGTGGGCTGCACCCACTCCAGAATTTACTGTAGCCCCCCCAGCCTCCCTCCCAGCACTGCTGCCACCCTCCCCAAACACAACACAGCCCCACCCCCTTCCAGAAAGAGGCCAGCACAGCCCCAGCCTGCCCTGCCCTATGCGCAGATCCAGGGGCACACACCACCCCCATGCCCTCCCAGGGTGTGCGTAGCAGCAGGAGCCACCCCTCCACGTGGCTTAGTCCTGTGCCCCGCCCCAGCTGAGCAGCTCCTGCCCCACCCCAGCCCTACTCCCTCCCCCCACAACTAACTTACCAGCCAGACCACATGACCAAGCTGTGCTACTGGCCACCTGCATGCTGCACTACAGCTGTGTGCACACACGCTAAGTTCTGTGTACCCCCTACAAGCCTTTTAAGTACCCCTAGGGGCAGACAGACCCCCAGTTGGCAACCACTGTGATAAGTATACAAATATTTGTTAACACAGTAAAACTCCTATCAGACTAGGCTTCTACCTAATCAGCAAGGTTGATGTTTCTACTGATCCTACAATTTTTGGTAGGTAGAAATCATTTGAACATTTGTACACTTAGACTTTCTGTTGGCAAAACTGTGATTCTACCACTAGATAAATAATGCCTGTATGGACCAGTCACCTTTCTTGGCATTTTCTAACTGACATGAAGAAAGAACTGCACTCTGGATCAGAATAGAAGCATATTGGTGAGACACTCCAATGGAGGTTGTAATGGACAATTCTGTTGTCCCTTGTTTTTCATAAGGACTTAGAAGTAGAAAGGAAAAAAATACCTGAAATGCTCCAGTCATGTTACTTAACAATTTTGAGATGATCAATAAATGTTCTGTCTCTCTCAGAGTAAAGCTGCACTCATGCTCAGAAAGACTGGAGTACTGCAGTATATACATTCAATTCTTCCAGTTGTCTTCAAGTTAGCTTGAGCTCCAGAAGTACTTGTGAAAACCTAAATGTACAGGGAAAAATATGTATCTTTAAACAACTATAGTTGCATGTGGGAATCTTCAGGGGTTTGTAAAAGCAGCAATTAAGGACATCAAACTAATAAATAGCTCTGCCTTAATCAGCATGCAATGCTTCATGACATTTCTGTTGTTACATATACACAATGACAAAGGCATAAATTTAGCCAAATCAATTTATTTTTAGGTATTAGAAATGTAAATTTATATAAGTCAATAATAACTGAATCTTAGACCAGTAAATGCAAGCACAAAATAGAAGGCATCAATGGATATTACATCTCTTTAGCTGCCTGATCCTTTGTTACTGGCATCAATGCAGTTTTATTAACATCAATAGAAGCAGTTTTATTTTGTTTTATTTTTGTTAATATCAATAAAAGCAGAAACAGACTCATTTCAAACGATGAATCCGGCTCACAATTGGTATCTAATCTTTAGACTTTGTTTCATGAAGTGCTGCTGAAAAGTGCAAGCTCAGAATGAATATTCAGTATAAAAATATATGGCGAAAAAGATAGGACCCAACTAAGGCTATTTTTATTCAACTCTAAGCCCCAACTCAAACCAGAAAGGTAGAAAAATATGCCTTTTCTAGGAACACCATACCATCCAGCCTGCGTCCAGGTTAAAATAAGCAAGTACAACTATGATATAAATCTGTTAGATTCAACTGTGATGTAAACAGTGGGATAAAGTAATATGGTGGGGTATGTTGGTCAGAAAATAAGTGTAAATAGGAATAGAAAAACTAAGGAAACAAAGCAAGGACAGATGTAGCTAAGGACGGATTTACCTTAAATATTTATTTTTACTTCTAATTCTCTCCACTAAAGAATATTAGCTTTTCATGCCTACAAAATATCAAATGGATACAACTTAATACAGGTGATCTTTTGAAGAAACCATTTATAGATACACAAGAATTAACCTGAAAGTTCCTGAAATTAGTTTAGTTACCCTGGATTTATGCTCATGTAGATTAGAGAATTTGGCCCAAAATGTAGGTTGTACCATTTTTCACTGAATATGGTAAATGGCAAATGCTGAATATAGCCAATGACCTTAGCAAAATCCTATTCCAGGATACGCTAGTCAGTGGAGTTGAACTCCACAATTCTTAGAGTTCAATGGGGTAAGGATTTCACTCCCTGTATGTGCTTTGAAAAGCAACTTTTTGGTATGAGTTTCATCATGCAAATAAAACATATGTACTATGTACCTACCTACCTACCTACATCATTAAAAAAAAAAAAGGTAAATTATCAGCCGTAAGCAAAGAATAGGAGTCAAACACTTTGGGATTACCGGGAAAGCTGAGTATCTGAAACCCAACATGACCTTCCTAGAACTTGCAAAGCTTAAACAGTTCAGTAAGAAAAGAAACTACTGCTGAGAAAATTACCACTTCCATGTTCACTGGCAAAGGCTTTCAATAATCGCACTGCAACATTTTCTAAACAAACAAATTAATTGAGTTAAGCTCTTATCATCCTAATTAAACAGCAATATGGGGCAGTTAATACATTTACAAAGGATACGTGGAAGACAGGGCTGGGACCTCCTTCCAGCATTCCAGACGGGTATTTTCTTAATGTTAGCATTATTACACAAGTGCAGGATGCATATTAATCACTTTAAGTTCACAAGCTCATGATGCCAGATGGCCATGCCAACTTCTTCCTCCAGTCAGTTTTTAAAAAGCACAGAATAGCTGAGTTGGTTCAACAAGGTTACAATGAGCACTCATAGCCAAATGAACTTTCCCAGCTGTTTTAATAAAATTTAAACAGGGATTTTTTTTCTCCATCTGCCTATGTGGGTGAGCAAAATTGAATGCACATTAACTTGTACCTACATTTTGCCAGTGTAAACTCCTGCACATAAAAGATGCATGTGTCAGACCTACGACTGGGAAGCAGGCAGTCACCAAGCTATGTCATGAGCCAGGAGCTAGTAAAGCAGTCTGAAGCAGAGGCAGTAAGAAGCTGCTAAAGTCAACAGGCATGAACCAGGAAGCAGCTAAGAAAAAGGATGAAGCCTGAAAGCCAACAAGAAGGACCCAGGGAACAGGAAACCAGGCACAACAAACAGGATTTGACACTAAGGCCAGAATCATGGGATTAGCAGAAGATAAGTAGCCAAGGTCCAATCCAGATATCAGTCCAGCTACCAGGGTATTGAGCTGAGGGTCAAAAAGAGGTCATGGTCAGGCCAAACGCTGATCAAGGCTGGAAGGTCAAAGACAGGAACAAGAGTAATTAGGAACAAGCAGGAGGGACCGAGAGAGCAACACCCAACAATGCTGTTGCTAGAACAAGGCCCTACAGGAACTGGGAGGGTTTTCAGCCCACCCTTTTGGGGCTTGTGGCTCTTATTGGTTCACCCAGGTCATCTGTTCTCCCATTGGCTGGAGGACCCAAGTGGTGGAGCTGCAGCCTACTCTCAAAAATATAGCTCAAGATTCATTGGGTTAAGACTGAAAAATTTAGACCTGACCTAGATAAACATGGTCAGTTTGTTTTGTTTTGTTTTGTTTTTTTCAATTCTCCTCTCTGGAAATACAATTATTTCAGTATTCAAGTTACCTGTAAGATTTTATTTTTAAAATTCTGATTCAGAGACTATAAATAAAAATATTGTATAATTCATTTCTGCAACAATGGTGCACCAGATCTAGAATCATGCTGGTCAAGTGTTTTTCTAATCTGCTCTTAAAAACTTCTAAGCATAGAGATTCTACAGCCTCTTTAGGTAGCCTATTCCAATGCTTAACCACACTCATAGTGAGAAAGTTCTTCTTAATCTCCAACCTAGATTTAACTTGCTATAATTTGAGACTACTGCTCCTTGTCCTGTCCCCCTCAGCCACATGATAGTCTATCACTATCCTCTTTATAATCACCTTTCAGATATTTAAGGTATTATCAAATCCCCACTGTCTTCTCTTGTCCAAACTAAATAGTCTTAGTTCTTTCAGCCTTTCCTTGTAAATTACTGTATTCAAGTAGATTCTAAGAAAAAGTGTCGTGTCCATTCCCCACTCCCCACCATTTGACAAATGTTGCGGCTTGGGCTCCAGTCCCTACCCAGGGATGGGGCCATAGCCACAGCTGCTGCCTGCCCTAGCATTACTACCTCTGCATCCTGCCATCTCCCCCCCAAGCTACTTTTGCTCCCCTGCCTGCCCCTCTTCTTCCCCACTTACCCCTACTCTGTGCTGGCAGGCTCTGTCCACACTGCAGCCTAGGGCACTGAGCATGACCCCATAGCAGCAGTGCACAGCCCACACAACTGCTACAGGGAACCGGACTATGGCTGTGCTCCGTGACTCAGACTAGAACAGGGCCAGAGCCTGCTAGAATGGAGCACAGGTAGGGAAGGGGGAAGTGTGGAGCAGAGGCTGGGGGAGGTCAGGGGAAGGGGGAAGCAGAGGCTGGAGGGGTCATCTTAAATTCAGCTTATGGTCTAATAATACATTCCAGGTCCTTTTCTTTAGTACTGCAGCCTAGCCAGTCATTGCCCAATCTGTATTTGTGTGTGTTATTGTTCGGTCCTTATTGAATTTCATTTGATTCATTTAAGATCATTTCTCCAATTTATCAAGGTCATTCTGAATTTTTACCCTATGTTCCAGCTTGCCTGCAACTCCACCCAACTTGGTGTCATCTGCAAATTTGCTATGTCTGCATTCAATCCTACCTTCCAAATCATTAATGAAGATAATTAATTATCTTCATTAATGATGAAGATTAATGATCGCTCTATGAGCGATCGTGGTGCTTGGGCCAGGTGCTAGATGATTGGAAGGTAGCAAATGTGGTCCCCATCTTCAAGAAGGGGAAGAGGGAGGACCCGGGTAACTATAGGCCCGTCAGTCTTACCTCAATCCTGGGGAAACTCTTTGAGAAGATC